TCAGATGCCAGCGTTGACTCAGACACTCGAGCAACCGCTGCTACATGCCCGGCATCGGAGCCTCTCCGGAAAACATGGACGTGGAAGCGTGGGAGGGTCCCAAGGTGCTAGTAGATTTGGTGCGCACCCTGGCGGACCACCATCTCCGTCGAACTCGGCATCTTCTCAAGGCTCTGGGCCATCACGCTCTACTGCTCCGACCTCACCTGCTGCCGTTCAACAAGCCCACGCTGGGAGCAAGTCGCACCGTCGCTTGCCTTCGGAACTAATAGCATCCAGTCCTGGCAGTGGTAATACGCCCTCGTCCAGCGGGCTCTTCGCTGCAGGCAACCAGGCGTCATCTTCTACAGGCATGGATCGCCGACGCTCACAATTGGCCGAGTCCGTGGCTGACGGCAACGCAAGTCCAAGGCGCATTTCACTGCCCCTGCGATTGCACACAGACCTGCTCGGCAGTCCAGACCGGCCCAGCTTGCCAAGCAACTGGCGCGAACGCCGTCAGGCCGAGATCACGTGCGTTGGGGAAGGACCAGCTGCTAGCATGGAGGACGCTCTCGTCTCAACCACGGCCGAGACGGTCACTTGTCTCGTGGCCGAAGACAATCCAATATCGCTTCGCATGCTAGAGAGCATTTTGCGGAAGCTGGGCTGTCAGTGTTCGACCGTACGCAACGGTGCCGAGGCCGTGCGACTTGCCATGGGAGATGTCAAGTATGCCGTGCTATTTGTAGACGTGTCTCTACCGATTGGTGAGTTGCGGTTGCTTACAATTCCCGCGAAGGCATCTTGTGGCTCACGCTGCGGCTCTTCTCGTAGTCAATGGGCAAGACGTCGCGCGAATGGTGAAGTCCACACGCAACATCAATTCGTCAACTCCTATCGTCGCTCTGGCTTCTTTTGACAGGGATACCGGACTCAATGCTTCAGGAAGCGTTTTTGATGCTGTTTTGGCGAAGCCGCTGGAGCTCTCTGACGTGTGCGAGGTGCTACCTCGGCTGGGATTCACAAAGCAACCTCCGCGTCGATCCGCTGGCAGTATGGGCTCAGCCGTGCCGCCATCGGATGCCGAAAGCCACCCAGATGCGGCGGAGGCATGACCCCGAGCCTTGCTTGAGCGTCATGTTCGATGCTGGCTCTCACGATTTTTCTACGAAATTCTCATGATACTTGGAACGCTCATCACACCTCTCATTGACGACCAACGTCTCGCGTAATCACTTGCCTCTCCCATCCTGAATGATTCTTGCATACTTGTTTCCTACACTTTCATCTTGCACGCAATGCCAGTAGTACACAGACGAGGCGTGCAAAGAGCTGTCTCTGGGCTGCCGTCCTCCATGTAGTCAGGTAGCTAGCTAGGGAATGCATTGACACGCCGTCCATTGCCGCAGGTCGCCTTACATCGCAGCCATCGGAAATGTCGTCATCTTTGATGCACGCGTTGGCAGTAGGGGATGAATGATGCATGGGCAGCGAACGATTTGCCGAAAAGATTGGGCGTTGCGCTGAATCCGGATCATCGCAGTCTCCATCCTGCAGTGTCTTGGTTGCTCATGATGGGTACAAGTCCCATCGCCCGAGCTCTCCTAATAGCTTTACCGACTTCCCTCTGGGATCTCCTCGTCAACCGACTCAATGCCCTCCTCTTGATCTTGCCCATGTCAGAGATGTAAGTCGTGAGCAGTACGGGGTTCTTGTACGAGTCGTCGAACAAGGATGGGTGGCCGGGTCGCAGTTGAAGCTTATGGAGCGTGTCGACGGTTTCTGCTTCAGCACGTCCTGGTCCCAAGAGAGGGGTCGCTCTCTTATAGGTCCGAGGTGCGTGCGTCTCCGCATTGAGAGTGGCTGGGACATAGTGCTGATTGAAAAGCAGATAGCCGATGAGTATGCAATTAGGAAGCAAACCTCTCAAATGCTTTGACTCTAGATCCCACCGCCCTTGTCATGCGAAAACTCACTTGACTCCTTACGAGAGGTGGAATTTTGACAGCGGGACCCAAAGAGGGAGCTCTGCCAGCGCCAGCCGCTGCTGACCCTGCCTGCTGCTGTTGCTGTTGCTGTTGCTGTTGCTGCAAATTCTCCATCAAAGAAGAGATTCGTCCTCCCACGCCCGAGCTTGGTCTCTCCGCTTTCACAGCAATGGCGCTCGAAAGTTGTCGCGCTGGAAGTCGACTAGGACCCGCTACGTTCGATGCATGGCTGAAGGATTGCCTACTGGCGCGCTGAAAGGATGTCTGCAAGAAGGACATTGGGGCTGGCTGGCGAGAATTGGCGATGACGTACTGGTATAGACCAGAGCTGGGAAGGGCTGCGCAATGAAGGGGATGTCGCGGATGAGTGGCCCGTGATGCGACCAGTCGTAAGCGTTGCACTCA